GGAGCACATGCAGGGAGCCCAGAGGACACAGAGTGAGCTCGGAGCACATGCAGGGAGCCCAGAGGACACAGAGTGAGCCTGGAGCACATGCAGGGAGCCCAGAGGACATAGAGTGAGCTCGGAGCACATGCAGGGAGCCCAAGGACATAGAGTGAGCTCGGAGCACATGCAGGGAGCCCAGAGGACACAGTGAGCCCGGAGCACACAGAGCGAACCCCGAGAACATGCAGTGTGCCCAGAGCACACACAGGGAGCCCTCTCTGCCAACATGGCAGCACCTGGGGTGGGCACCAGCTGCATGACGGGCCTGGACAAACATCCTTCAACTGACAGAAAGATCCAGAAGGACCTCCCAGAGAGCAGGAGGGGCAGCTCAGAGGGTGTGATCTTGCAAAGAAACAGCCCCCACCACAGGAGTTAGCTTGGGCAGTGTGAAGCCCTCAGCCAGCTGCAGCGGCACATGAAATTTCGACAGCTGTCAACAATTCCGGAGGCTTCCAGGATGTCCCTGATGGGGAACGTGGCTGGATCCCACTAAGTACACTTGGATGGGGTTTCCAGGACTCACACAGCCCAGATGTGCCTGCATTGGTTTATGGCTACTGGATCTTGCCATGTTTGCTACTGTGGCCGTGGAGACCGTCCCACTGTCTGAGCCTGATGTGTTTATGGCAGACCCAAGTCCACGGAGCACGTCCTAAGTGCACACGGGTGCCTGGAACCTCCACGCAGGAGAGGTGAGCAATGACGGGTGCTGGCATCCAGCCCGGTGGGGCTGTCACCATCGCAGGCACAGGGCTGCCCTGGCCCCAGGATGGAGGACGCTGCCAGAAGGCTGGACAGAACAGGACGGGAGTCACAGGAGCAGAGGCCACAGCTCAACCCGTGCCGGGTGTACCTGCAGGGGCAGGGCGCGGCCACACCTGGGCCTGTTCTGGTGTCTCAGTGACAGGCAGACAGATGGGTCAGGTCTTGTTCAGTTAGGTCTTCCCCAAGGCCCCGGAATGCCGTGTCCCTGTTGCCACGTCACCCAGGGCCACTCACGTTTGTATCGACATGTCAAACCCTAACCCTTGAAAAAGGTGTAGACTGGATGCAGCTTAACTCACTAAGCCCTCGCGTTCTGATTTATCCCTTTTTAAAACCACTGTGTAGACTGTCCAGTCTCCTCGGGGCAGAA